TCAGTAAGATTTGCAAGTTCCTGCCGAGCCTCCTGTGTTGTCCACCACCACCACCACCACCTGCCTCCTGGCTCACCTCCCTGAAGGCCGCGCCATGGACGACTCCTCTCCCCAACACCAACTGGGGACACTGGCGTGCTGCTGGGAGAGGTGGGCGCCACACCCCTGCCTCGCCTCATGTAGCACGACTGTGGCCTCCGCCTTTGTTTTCTTGCATTATTAAATAACAAAGTATATATATTGCGTGTAATTTAACCACCTTTATTCTGAGGTTATTAGTTATTTATGGTATAAATAAAAAAATGCTGAGGAAAATTTTTGACTTCAATTGATAAGGTACCCCGAGAGATTGGAGCGCCTGAACTTGCCTAGTTTATACTACAGACAGGTAAGGGGAAACCTAATTGAGGTGTATAAGCATATCAAGGGGCACTACTCAGTCGAGTGTCCTTACTTCGAGCTGGCGGACGCTCGCCCCACAAGGGGTCACAGCTCAAGATTGAAGAAGCCGCAAGTTCAGAAAACTGTGAGGGCAAACTTTTTCGGAGTGAGAGTTGTGAACTCTTGGAACAATCTACCAGAAAGTGTTGTGACGGCACCAAGTGTGAGCTCTTTCAAGACCAAATTTGACCAACACTGGAGCATGTTTTTGCTGTCTTGCAAGGCTTCTAGCAATACAAATTATATTCGTCTAACTTTAGTGTGCGATGTTATATAAGATAAAAACTTTAAGCCTAAAACACCAAGCCCTGGCTGGGAAGATGGGGGAGGGAAGGAAGTGACAGTGTCATGTTTGACAGTTGCGCAGAAGGTCTAGTGAAGTATTTATTTGTTTATTTATGTCCTTAAGATTGAGTTTTTGTTTTTTGTTTATAAAATGTCACAGAAGTGACCGGGAAGATTATAATTTACATTGCTGGAATTCTTCTACGATAGTGATTAATTTGAATATAAACATGCTATAGTTTGCACTAGACAAAAATTTATTAATCATTTAGTACATTATTTTGAGTACATGTACAGTTGTAATAGCCCCTGTCGAATAGGCAGAAGCATTATATAAATGTGTTAATTACATTTGAATTATATACTCTATCACCCCCTGTAACTTTCCAATGGGTATGAGGTGACATGTTCAGAGCACGTGATAAGGTGTGCCCACGGGAAGCCGCGTCATATTGTGCTGAGTTAAGGCATTAAGTAGCCGGCTCTCTGGCCACCTAAAGCGGGCAGTAGTTTGATATCCTTGATTAGAGGAAGACGTTATTGAGAGCCATCGTGATGGTTCCGTCTTCCGTCGAGGGAGGACAACGTACATATTCCGTTCTCCCTCGATGGGTTCCTACTCACAGCAGTCACTCAACCCCTCACACCGAACGGACATATTTAGCAGGTCTATTGACATAGCCTCCGTCCTTACCTTAACACTCATAGTTACAGTGATAAGTTACGGTGATCTCCATTTGGAACTGTATCCTAGATATATCCTGAATAAATGGATAACAGACAATTGGGTTTCACTACTATAAACCCTATATAATATAAATGTTCCGGCCTCATTAACTTAGACAGAATCAGCAGTTAACCGGCCTAGAACACAGTACAGCTTTGCCCTTAGGACAGTGTGTGCATGTAAATAAGTAAAAATAAAATAATAATTTTACATATACAGTATCGAGCCAAAAATATTAGTTGAAAAACTGTATGTAGACAGAGCTTGGATGGAAGGGGTGGAGCTTTGGCAGGCTAGCGTTTGGCGTGCGTACGACCCATTTCTTGGCCTTTGTGGTAGTTAATGATGTAGTAGCTGGCCTCTTGGACATAGTGGCGATGGGTGATGCATTTGGTAGAAGGAGATAGTGTCACACAATATGTCCGTTCACTAGAGCATCAGTGTGAGAACTGAGCATGTGAGAGGGTGTGAGAGGGTGGCGGGCAGCCGTGTATCGTGCCAGAGAAACATTAGGCGTGAAATTTAAAATATGATGCGCCAGACTGACTCGCGCAAAATAGGAAAGATTCGCTTTAAATTAAAACACTGTCCTTAATTGTGGGTACAGTATCGCTTTAAATCAATATCTTAAATTGAATCGTTTTAAATCGACGTTCTACTTCCCTGTAGTACATGTTAGTTAACATATGTCATCTGATTCATATTCTGTTCCACAGTAACTAAAACATGTAGTTATGACCTTTCTAAAGTTACCCACTCGATGCGACGTGTTTTTCTTAAGGAGACACAGTCCATTTTCTATAGTACGTACTGAAGGGCCACCACGATATTATATTGTATGTAAATTTGCATTTACAATGTAACGTGTTTGTGTAGTCGCAAGATGTATCTACTGTACCCGCTTTAAGCTGGAACATTCAAGATCCATTGTGAGTGATGTTGAAAGCTTCAACTGTATTTAGTTTTAGTAAAATTGTCAAGCAAGTCCTTGTGTTAAGAGTTGCAATGGAGGCGAGAATCATGTTCCCTGCCCTGCAAGACGAACAAAGTTTCCATTTGCCACTGAAATCAGATTGTTTTATTCCCAATCATCAGAGAATCTGATGACTGTATTGAAATTATTGTCAGTTTTGTATTTACATATGTCATCAATCATTTGAAAGAAACCTGTCAACTCCTTATCGCCCTAAAATATAACTGTGTGTGTCACTAGTCCCTTGTCCCTTTTTTTTTTTGATGAAGTAGAAAATACTATTGCCAGCCTGTATGACTGACATCAATTTAATGATTGCACTGCACACTCAAACACTGATTGGGTTGTAAGCAATAGACTTACAAAATTAATCTGATCCATAACACTGATTTTCATAGTCCAATGTATAATGCAACTAAGTTAAACAAATATGTACGTAAATTCAGGGTGACATCCGACATTCCTTGAGTTGCCACAAGGTCGTATATAACTGAGTGTACAGGAGCAAGCAGTCACTTTTCGTGACTCGCTCTTCCATCGTCTAACAGGCACTGTGGTAATTTTGCCGCTACCGAGTATCAGTAGCTACCTGCAAGCATGATGTCCAAGGCCGGATGTCATTAATACAGCCTGATTGATATCCGAGTACTGTACAGTACTCAGATACCGACTCTCCTACTGAGTCATTTTTTTGTTGTGAATACCAGCGGTCTAAGCCTGGTGTAATAAAATTATTGTATGTGCTACTATCTCTTGTGCACATAATTATGGATGATTATTGGGAATATAATCACCCCAGGTTGAGCATGGAAACCATAAATATTACTATTACCAGAATTAGAATTTGTTATATGAGGTGAGTGGACCATCTATTCTCATATACTCACAGCTAATGTGTTGGTATATGTTTCCTTGTAATAACATGTTGCTCTCAGTAATACCATCAGTCTGTGTTATTGACAAGTGGGTAGAGAGATCATCTTTGTTGTCATTGATGTATAATAATACCCTTCAAGAGGTATAAGTATTGTACTGAATGTAAATGTTAATTGAAGATGTATTTTTGATACTTTTCAATTATGACTTATTGGTCAGTTTGTTTTGTCTAAGTGTTACTGTAAAGTAATCAGTGATTGAACCTACTTTTTGTTGTTGTGAGTAAAGGTTCAGATTGTTATAATATTTAGAGTTGATTTTAATACATATTGATTCAGTAGAATGTAAGTATCACCACTCCTTCGTCTCACAATTACCAACTCAAAAAATAATAACACTCGCATGCCTAACCTCTCGTGTCTACCCTTGTTAATTGTAGAAGTTATATTCGAAAGAAAGGCCTGGGTGGTGGCAGACTAAGATGTAATTATAATAATTATACTAATGTGCAATGTTAGACAATAATGTGGTTTTCCCAGGTTAGTCCACTGAACAGAATATAACTCAGTAAAGTTGAGAATACTGTACAATAAAAGTAAGAGGAAATAAAATAAGTAAAGAATATAAAAAATATACATTAAATAATGAAAATAAAAACTTAGAAAATACATAAGAAAATAAATGAAATATAACCAAGAAGGTTATAGAAGTTATAGAAATAGAAATCTTCAACAAGAGTCCCCTTGGCCTCAAAGAGGACATGTGATGATGACCATGCTTATTTTTCAGGATGTGGTGAGTGTTGTTTGCTTTGTACTGATAGTAGTAATGTATTGTAGGAATTGTTTTCTCGGTGATACATGTGTGTTTGGGGACTGGCTGGGAACATATTCTATTAAACCCCATGTTATAATGATCCTATCTATGATACCTCACCTCGCGATGGGTTTTTCAGGAACCTAACCCCATCATATCGAGGTTTACCTGAACAATACTCGACATCATTTACCACATTAACCACTTTGGGATATTTTGAACCATGGTATGACTTCATGTTCCATATACAGGGGGGGCTTCTTGTCTTAGATGAATCATGCAAGACAAGAGGAGGAAGAGACAAGACAGGCAAAGGAAGGGGGCAAGACTGGAGAACGAAGAAGCAAGACAGTAGAAGGAAGGGGCAAGACTGGAGGAAAAGGCAAGACAGGAGGAGGAAGAGAAAAGACAGGAAGAGGCAAGACAGGAAGAGGAAGAGGTAAGACAGGAGGAGGAAGAGGCAAGACAGGAGGAGGAAGAGGCAAGAAAGGAGGAGGGGGTTATGACATGTCTCATGGAAATTTTTCTCTGCCTCTCCACCCAACACAGTGATGAGGCAATACACCACACCATACACCATTCACATTATAGTTAACAACAAAACAGAACAAAAATGGCCATACTTGTGGACTCCTCTACAAATTGTTATGTTATACTGAACCATCACAAAAAATTAATCTTATTTGAGCTGAAGTGATTGGAAATGCATCTCAACAAAATTAGCTGAGAATATTAGTAATAAAAATAAATAGGACTATAAATTAGTGTAAAAGTTAATATTTCTTGTTCAATGTTAATCATAATAATAATAATATTAATATAAAATCAGTTATTATGGTGAAATTATAATAAGCTCCATAGTTCAATCTTTTAATATTGGCTGCAACTGAAAAAATTCTTCCATCTAAGACACTCATCTGTGAATATAAACTAATGTGCCATTTGTTAGTCACAATGAAAAGAACCAGAGAAACAGAAGTACATCTTGTAAACTCTAAGTTATACTGAGGAACAGAAAAAGTGTAGTGTACTGGAACAACATAAACTACTGTACATGAGTGACAGACACATGAATTAGCAGATGAAATATGAACAGAAAAAAAATTCAGACTACAATTAACAATAAAACTACCGTACTGACACCTGTGGTATGTGAAGAAGTGTTAGGGCCATCCCAGACTTTCACCTGTATAATATACCAGTACTGTACTGTATGTTTCTAACATAGGAATGAAAACTCCTTTGGTCAATGAAAATTTATGAAATTTTGCCATAAAAGTAGTTTAAAGCTTAAAAAAATATGAAATACAGTAAAGGGTGCTGTACTTGAAAACTATATACTGCCTGCGCAGCAATATAAAAATAGTAATACAGTACTGTATAATTATATGGTATTACTCAAATGACATTAAAGTATTAAAATACCTGATCACATAAAGTTTATAATCTGAAGACTGGTCAAGGATCCTTTAATTGTCTAGGATCTTGCAACCCCAAGTCCACTAATCCACTGATCCTTTCAATGGGAATTCCGGCAGCATCTTTTTTACTCCGGGAATCAACCAACGGCCTCCCATGAAACAATCTAATATTTAGCTCCTTATTAACAGGAATGTTGCATTCCTCAGTAGATGAGGAGCTCTTAAATTTCATCAAATCAGTCATCTTTTCAGGATAAACTGCAACCTCTGTGTCTTTGTTTGTCACAAAAGAATCCTTCAAAAACTGCACGGGAGGAGCATTGGCATAAACATTATACATACTTTTCCCAGCAAGTTTTCTTTCAGGTAAACCAGACAATGGAAATAACTTCCATCTCATCTTTGCAAAATGCTCTCCCAGTTCTGGCGGTGTGCTTGAATAGTTACTGCGGATAAAATGTGTTTGTACTTCTTTATCACTGCAAATTCTACTGAAACTTTTCAAAAGCTCTCTTTCTTCAGTTTGAGATTCTGTATCCCTTGTGTCCATTGAACCTTTGGTCTGAGAACTCTGTGGAATTTGCAAACCATTCTTTACCTGTACCAATTTGTTGCTAGTTATGCCCATGATTCCTGGGGACACCTCAACCCCAACACATTTGGTGCAAGTTGTGTCCATGATTCTTGGGGTCACCTGAACCCCAACATCTTTACAAAGTACTTTTTTTTCCACAGAAGCATGTTTGTTTGAGACCCAGTTACTGTGGATAGTTTCTTCTACATGAGGAAATGCAGTATTTCTAGCTGACTTCCTTCGAGTACTCTTATATCTTTCTATACCAGTTGTCTTTCCATCAGGCACAGTTTCATTCTTTGATTTAAGATCATTGCCAGGGCAAGCATCAGGACCTTTTTTCAGTTCTGAGTCAACTGCATGAGTAAAATTTTGATTATCCAAAGAGTTGAGTCCCTTCTCTGTTCCCTGCAGTATATGAAGTGTGTCCGAGTCCAGCTTTGGAACAGGATGGCCATGTAGAATTTCCAGTGTTGCAAGAAGAAGCCACTGAGCCCATGGACATGTTTGATAATAAGCTTGACGAAGCAGTACACTTGTTAACACCTGAAACACAGGGATGCATATTCAGATGAACGTCTCACTATACAGTACACTGTATTTGAAAAGAAAACTTGCAAGAAATATAAATTATGTTTATATCAGGCTTAAGTAATAAAAACATGATTAAAAGATAAAATTTAAGTTATTATGAACATCCTCCCTTTGTTGAATATCTTCTAGTAAGGACTGGATGACATACCATAAGAATCTTTTTTTAAAACAATCTAATTTGAAAACTTTGGCAATTATGTTACATGTCATTTATCTATACTGTACAGTACATAAAGAATATTCCAGCTGGAGGATGTTATTAAATTAAAATTTAGTTACAGAAAGTTATAGCTAAACTTTTCTCTGGTCATTTACAAAACAAAAAAATTGAAAATAAAGGATTAGCTAATGCTTAAACTCTCATTTTATACCCAAGAGGATGATATATTTAACTGCTAAGCCCCACTGGTAGACCCTAACTGTCCCAGATGGTCCTCACATGGTTTACTGCAGTCAATTCATTATCTAGCTGCTTTCTAGCAGAACCAAGTGGGTTTGACTACAGCACTTTAAGCAGCTCCATACAAAGCCTAGTAAAATCAGGGTCAAATCTTATCTTAGACCAAGAGTACAGAAATACCTCGCTAGTCACAACCCCGTCTATCCACAATGAACATTTTAATGCCACTATTCGATATTTGCAAAGCACACCCCGCTTATTAGCAAAGAAAAATTACGGTACCCTACACTAATATTTCAAACTGTACAGGCTAGCCACAGCTCCCATATTCTGTTGTAAAGCCCACTTCACATGAGTGTGCTTTTTTCTGTGTGTGTGAGGATCCATGAGGTTTAGAAATTAATACTATATACTGTAGTTCAATGGGACCGTTCACACAGAGCACGCGCGGGACACAATCACCCAATAACTGTACCTGTAATTCAAAACCGTGGTGTGAAAAAACACTGAGCATTCTATAATTCTACACATGGCAATGCTATTTTACACACACACACACGCAGGGGCGTTCCTAGAGTATTTGGCACCCGGGGCGGACCTATCCACTGGCACCCCCTTCCTTCCAGAGATGAATAAATATACAGTTTAGTCTCGATTTACGCGGATTTGGTTTACGCGTTTTGTCATTTACGCGGCACCTTGCCAGACCGACAATTTTTATTTACACGGTTCATTCCATCATTTACGCGGCAAGTGGCGCAGGCAGGGTGCGCACAAGGTCGCCCAGTCAACAAAACATTACCGAGTTCTTCACCCACCACCCACCACAGCAGGCCCAAGTCAGTGATAGTGAGGATATGGACTTTGAGGGGTTTGACAAAGAGGCCCTGCAAGCCTCTGTGGTGGATAGTGATACAATTGATACAGGTGAGGGCCAAAAATCTGCCCTCTGCCTCGGAACCAACCCCCCATCCCCATATGCCAAGCCATCTTTTCTACCAACGTAAGTGTTAAAAAACCTAATATTATTGATATTTCTCTTAAATATTAATTGTGTGTGCATACCATCATAAAATTAAGATGTTATTTTTACTACAACGTACGTATTGTGTCGGAAAAAGTGTAGTTGGGGGGGGTCGGCCCAGTCTCTACTTCAATTAATCCCATATGTTCTGTTATTTAGTTTACGCGTTTCTTGTTTTACACGGACCTCCACGGGTTCAATTGACCGCGTAAATGAAGACTATACTGTACAGTAAAAGTAAAATACACAATCGTCCCTAGAGTACTGGGCACCCAGGGCAGGGCATTCCTTTGCCCCCTTACTCTTCCTCCACTGAGACGAATGATAAAAAAAAATAATAATACTCTTAAGGAATTTTGGATTATGCTTAGTAAATATTATAAATGTTTTAGTTTCCTTTTATTAATATGGAAAACTATTATTTTTTTTTTACTAAAGAATAATGTAGCCTACATCAATTGTAATATTCGTAAATAAAAAGCAGGTTTGTAAATGTGGATGATATTTAGGAAATCTACAGTATATATAAACAAATGTATTTCCTAATTTCAACAAAATTTACACGATACAACAAAGCACATACAAGTAATTCAAATATACAAAGTACAGAATCCATACTGTATATAACTACAAGTTACACAATGAGAAGGGTGCAGCCTTCTTCAACTCAATTTTATCAGAAACTTGACCAATAGCACTAGATTGTTCAAAAAACGTAGGAAACCACGAGATACAAGCGGTATACTTTCATCTAACACAAAAAAATATATATACAGTTGTACCCCACTTAACGCGGTCAATTGAACCCAGAGGGTCCCGCGTTAAGTGAACAACAGAACATATGGGATTAATTCCAATAGAACCCAGCCCGACCCCCAAACTCCACTTTTTGACGACACATACCTATGTTGTAGTAAAAATTCTATCTTAACTTTATGATGGTATGAAAAAACAAGTAATATAGAAGAGGTTAGGTTAGGAAAGATAAAGGTTAACATAGGAAAAATAAAGAATAGGTTAAAAAACGAAAAATTTTGTGGAACACTTACGGTAGTAGAAGAGATGGGTCGGCATACGGGGATGGAGGCTGGTTCCGAGGCAGAGGGCAGATTACTGGCCCTCAGGTGAATCACCATTACTAGGTGAATCAGCATCACTGTCACTTACAGTTGTCAGGGCTTCCCTGACAAATCCCTCAAAGTCAACTTCAATTTCACTATCACTGGCTTGGGCTGGCTGTGGTGGGTTGCGGGCGAAAAACTCGGTTATGCTTTGCTGACGGCTGGTGTTGATGTTGTCGTGATACACCTTGATGTACGGCTCCATAGCCTGCACCAGTCGGGTATGGAAGACTTCATAGCGTTCATCGTCATTGTCGCGGGAAAGGACGGACTTAATTTTTTCTGCAAACTCTATGGCACACTTAATATCACTATGACTTAAACTAGGTTCTTCGGAGAATGACGCACCTTCTTCCTCCTCTTCACTGGCGTGTTCTTCTTCCAACATCTCGTCGGCAGTCACTTCAGGATCTTTGATCACCTCCAGGATGTCTTCGTTGGTGGTCTCGGAAAAGCCTTCAGCTGTAATATTGAGCGCAGCTTCTCTGGCAAGGTCCACTGCTACTGCAACAGTCTGAACCTGACCAGTCACAGGTTCACTCCTCCTCTCACCTGGTATGCCATGCAACACATGTCTCCATGCGTGACGAATCGTAGCAATAGTCAGCAGATCTCATGCCTCCACCAAGAAGTCTACAGCTTGTTTAACGTTAAACTTCTTCCAAAATTGTTTGACGAGAAGTTCTTGAGTCACCGCCTCTTGTTCCTTGTCCTCGTCGCTTTTGCTCTCGCTGTCGGTGTCACCCAGCTTACGCAACTCATCCTTGGTGTTGGTAGAGTCGTTCAGGAGCTTGAACTTCTTTGCAGAGTACGCAGCTTTCACATTGCAGATCAACTCCTGGTCCATGGGCTGGATTAATGACGTAGTGTTGGGAGGAAGGAAGACCACTTTTACGTTGGGGTGACGATCCATAAGTAGGGGCGAGTGTCCAGGTGCGTTGTCAAGGAGCAACAAAATATTGAATGGAACATTCTGTTGCTCGCAGAATTTCTGCACGTCAGGAACAAAAAAGTTGTCAAACCAGAAGAGGGACAGAGAAGAGGACATCCACGCCTTACGTGCGGTTAGCCAGTGGACATTAAGCTTGTTCATGTCCATATTCTTGTAGGCGTGCGGCTTGCGGGCTGTGTGAATCACCGATAACTTTGGTTTACAGGTACCGGAGGCATTGGTGGTAAACAGGACGGTGATGCGTTCCTTCTGCAACTTCCGACCCCTTACCTTGCTGGCAGACTGGACAACGAAGGTCTTGGAAGGTAACTTTTTCCAGAAAAGACCAGATTCGTCCATGTTAAACACCTGGTCGTCACTGTACTGTCCTTCCTCCATAATCTCACGTAAAAACGGAGGAAAATCTCTAGCCGCCACACGGTCAGCACTCGCTTCCTCACCACCAATGTTGATGTTGGTGATCTTGTTCCTCTTCTTAAACCTATGCAGCCAACCAGAGGAAGCATTGAAGGGTTTGGGCTCTGCAATTCCCAGTTTACGTGTCACTGCTGCGTATAGCTCACGTGCGTACTCCTGCACTGAGCGCGTGTCCACCGCCATGTTGCGTCGCGCCTGACGCACCAAATAACTCACCAGCAAATTTTCCACTTTTGCCAGCACCCTGTTCTGGCAATACCTGATAGATGAAGCACCTGCAGACTTTGTGATTTTCATGTGCTCTTTGATCTTGGCTGCATCCTTCTTGATCGTACGAATCGTAGATTCGTTGACGCCATGCTGGCGCGCGAGATCAACTTGCCGTCTTCCTTTCTCCAAATCTTGAACAATTTGGTACTTCACCTCGTAGCTTAATGAACGTCGTGTCTTCTTTGGCTTAGTGCCGCTGGGTCCAGGTAAGGAAAGGTCTCTCTCTGGGGGCGGTGGTGGTCCGGCGGAAGCCATTTTACGGAACAATGGATGCGCGTTAACACGGTGTGGCCTTGAGGGATGAAACTGCCGCGGCTAGGTCAAGCGTCGTCTCTCCTCCCTCCCTCCCTCCCTCCCTCCCCGGGGTGGTCACGTCATAATACTTTAAGCCAATTACAGCTAGCAGCAGAGGGGGGTAGGGATGCATGGCCAATCACAGTCCGATACGTCATATGACGTCAGTGATAACGCAACAAAGACACACACTGCGCAACCTTACCGCGCGGCTTGCCCAAGCGGAGGGAGGAGGAGGGAGAGGCAGGCAGGCGGGCGGGCGGGTGGCGCGTGGGCAAAATCTAAAAATAGCATCTCGAGCCGGACACTCACCGCGTATATGTGGAAAAAATCCGTGTTAAGTGAAAGTTCAGCTCTGGCAAGGCACCGCGTATATGCGAAAACGCGCTAAGTGAAACCGCGTTAGGCGGGGTAATACTGTATATAAATTTTACAGCCTCATCGTTCGTGACTTAGCTTCAGCAAACTTACCAA